TACCTGCTGCTCCTTCTGTGGTCACTCTGAAGCAATTATTTCAGATAATGTGGAAACAGGCCATTGATGGGAGTCCATCAAGAAATCATTATCTCACTAGAAGCAATGAACTGCTTGTTAACAGAATTGGAAGGTGTGCATGCAAAAACATTTTTCTTAGTATTTTTAGCTTCTTTTTTGATGGGGGTGGGGAGAGCAGGAGGGGCTGGAGGCTGTCACCACATTGTCTACAGCATGGTGGCTTAGAGAGTGCAGTGCCACACAGCACACAGTGCTCCCCTTTGTGCTGCCCATGGCCTTGGATGGTGGCTGTGCAGCCAAGGGCCTGGAAGTGCTGCCAGGTTTGTTATCTGTCTGTCTGTCTGTCTATCTATCTATCTATCTATCTGTCTATCATCTGTCTATCTATCTATCTATCTATCTATCTGTCTAACATCTCTTATCTCCTATCTCATCTATTTATCAATCATGTCCCGCTGCCTTGCACATGATAGAAATTTGTTGTTCCTGCAACATCCTGGGGAAAAAATGCTGGTCTGGCTCTGAGGAGCAGCTCTAGGGAATCTGTCCAGTTTAAATTGCTAAGAAGGCAGGGAAAGCCAGGCAGGATTTGACTGAGACAACTGGATTATCATCTAAATGACAAGCTAATGAAGGAATTAGTGCTTTAATATTTTATTTTATTTTATTTTATTTTATGGTTTCTTGCAGATATCTCATAATTTAATATCAGTGAACTACCAGGCAGAAATAGCTGGGCATGTGTAGGGGGTGCAAGGGATAGAATGTGGGCACCTGCCCCCTAGCCAGATTCCCACCCCAATTCTGGATACCATTTTTAAACATTAGTTATTTTACAAACAAGTGATCAACCTAAACATTCCAGATATGTTTTCCTTCTATAAATCTGTAACTCTTAATGACTTTTCCCCTCCAGCCCATTGATGTCTTTAGGTCACAGTGTCTCCCCAGTTCTGTGGTGGCTGATGGTGTGGATCCCACTCCATGTGTGTGGAGCTGACCACTACAACTTGTGGTCATGTGCTGAGGTGACAGTCCATGAAAAGAAGTGAAAATTATTGTGTCCTCACCTCTTCAGGAAACAAAGAACAAATAAAGCTGGAAAATTCTGGTTCAAAACAAAAGTAGACTCTGAAAAAGAGCTTTACATAAAATATTTCTGGAGCTCCAAGCTCCTTCTCCAAATATCCCTCCCTCCTGCCTGGCCCCTGCTGGCCTGTGGGGGTGGATCTGATGGCCTCCTGCTGCCACAGGAGAGCAGGTAGGGAATAATTCCTGACCCTTCTCCCCGACCTCAGCACAGGGGTGGCTGCACTGGTTTGTCTCCTGAAGGGATCCTCAGTAACTCACACTAAACCCTGACCACAATAAAGGATGTCAGGCCTCCCTTTGCCACAGAGGGGTTCAGTCAGGACAAAGTGGCACTGCCAGAAACATTCCTCATGGTGAGGCAAGGCAATGCAGCAACTCAGCCTTCTTTTTTTTTTTTTTAATGTTCCCACTTCCCTTTTAATATTGTCTTCAATTTGATAAAATAAATGTGTACCGCCTTGCCATTTCATTTTTCTCCAAGAAAACTTCTTTTTTCTGTGGCTCTGAGTTATGTGTGCTTGTAAAAACCTCCTTGTTTAAAGGCCATGCTTTCTGCTGAAGAAATCCAATGGAATCTAAGCAAAGAGCTTGTGCAGATTGAGGCACAGTATTTCCCAAAGAAATGGGCTACAGTTCCAAATTAGGCAGATTTTGGTGCCTTTTTTCCTTTTTTTTTAAATTTTAGAGGGCCAGCCCCTTATGTCTGCAGAGGCAGGTGAGGAACCTGAGAGTGACATCAGTGACACGCTCAGTACAAGACCTACAGCAGTTCCAAGCAGGGAACACAGTCCAGGTCAGCAACAAACATTTCCCTAAGCTCTTACCAGATGGAGGCACTGGGACTGGCACCTCAAGCACAGGCACCCCAGAAATTAACAACTGAATAGTCTTTTCTAGTGTGCAGTCCCTGGGTCACACATGGGATCTTCCCCCTTTTTGGGGCACAGGTTGGTTTTATGTCACTCCCTTGAAGGGCAGAATTCAGCTGCTGGCAGTGCCAGGAGAGCAGCAGAACTCCTGAGGACACTGTCACCCCAAACACTGCCAGGGGCCCTGGGCAGCTCAGGCACCATCTGGCACAGTCACCCAGGGCTATCCCTGTGTCCCCAGTGTGCTCAGCAGCTGCTCCCTCCCAGATGCTGCCCCTGCCCAGGATGGAGCACGGCAACACTGCAGCCTGGGGTGAGGGCAGGAATGGCCATCACAGCTTCAAGTCCTCACTCAGGACCAGAAGAAGAAGAAAACCTCTTTATTTTGAGAGCAGTCCAGAACCAGGGTAACTGTGGGGAAAGTTGCACATCCCCTCTGAGCCAGTGCCCAGCTCAATGCCAGGGATGTGTCTGGGCACAAAACCTGCCCTCAGTGTGCTGGGTCTCACCGTGGGACACCAGCAGTGCTCACAGCTCAGCACAGGCCCTTGTTTAGTCAGCAGAATTAAGCAAGTGCTGAATTAGGGCTTTGCTGTCAGGACTTCACCTGCCAGAGTCATTTTATCGCAGGAAGAACATCCCTCATACCACAGTTCCCTCCTAAAGGGAAAATACAATATTATCCCAATTAAAGAAAAGCTTTTTTCTGCAGCTCTATCACTCCAAATGGAGCAGGATGACAGGCAGATCAATGTAGGTCCTGTAAGCCAGAACAGGTATTGAGAATTTGTTCAGAGAGAGGAAAAACCTTTTCCTCCCACCAGTGCCATTTATAATTTATGGCTGGGAAAAAGCAGGAAGGAGATATTTGTGTGTGTGTGCAGTAAAATATTGCAGATTACCACCCCTGGGCTCTTCTCCTTTGTTTTTCCTGGATGAACAATATTGGGTACCTGATCCCAACAGAACCCCTTTCAGAATTGCTGGAGTGCTGCACAAATGGTGCTGTGTTGATAAATGCCTTTTTTCCCCGTGTTGGCAAATCAGTGCGGTACAAAGATGGGAGCAGGAAAGGATAAACACATGTACAGTGATTCTAGCAAGCAGGTGCAGGGTAATTCCCAACACAGCCTGTAAAGGCTGCTGCCATTTGAAGGTGTCAGCACAGTAATGGGAGATGGATGGCAGCAATACTTGCTGGGGCTCCTGCCAAAACCACACATTGCCTGAATCCACAATATTGGTGCTGCTCTCTCCTCACCTGAGCTGCATTAGAGAGCAATGTGGGAGGGAGTCACACAGGATGTTAACTGGGAACTGAGCAAAGGCCGTGCATTGTAGCACACAACTTGAGTCTCTGCATGGCAATCAAATTCTTCTTACTCCATGTGTGCTCTGCACGGTGGTGATGGAGCTCACCCTGCAGCACTGGGAAAGGCCCTTTAGCTGCCCCCAGGTGCCACCATCAGGATGGCAGCCCATGGACAAGGGACAGAAGAAGGGATGTACAGATGGACACACAGAAGCTCCCAAATGGAGCGTGAATGGGGATCTGCTGCTGCTGGCCAGGAAAGGGTCAGATTTATTCACTATAAATATGTGCATTTGATATATAATGGGGACATAAAGGTGGGAAGGGACATAAGGAAGGACAGGGAAGGGAAGGGATGGGAAGGGAAGGGCAAACCAAAGAATCAACAGAAGGAAGAAAGAATGAGAAGAGACACTTGTCATAAATCTAAGACAAAAATTACTTAATGTATAATTTTTTTGCCATTCCCTCTCAAATATGAGTTAGACCAGTAGCATCAGGAATTTTTGCTGACACTGGAGCAGACTATTGCAAACAAAAATGGAAGTGGTTTCATTGGTTCTTGTCCTTGTTTTGTCCTTGTTGCTTTACGGCACCTTTT